ATCAATTAAATGGGTTATCATGCCAGCTCAAAAATGCTTTATGCATCGATTGGTAATGGAGGTGCATCTGTCCTTAAATGGTCCTCGGTCTGCAAGAGTGTCTCTGTACTACAAGATGAGAACTTCTCTTCTATTCAGTGGCTCCTGGTTTCAGGACCAATGAACTAGCAGGGGAGTTGGAAAGTATTAAAGAAGTAGGGTCAAAGCTCTTTTGGCCATACTTCTCTGGGGCATAGGGGTGCACTTAGCTCTGCACTCAGGTGACCCAGTTTCAGCTGACAGTAGGCTAAAGACCTCGTCACCGTCTGAGCCGGTCTAGGCTCTACAGAGATCCCAAAAATGATGGGATTTGCCCAGATGCCTAACAGTCAGTGTTGATGGGGGAATCCCTTCCACAGAGCTGTTGTATCATCCCACTGGGAGGGAACAGGAAGCCACCCCTGTCGGGAGATCTCCGTTGTTATTGCTAGTTATCCACTGGCAATAGTCACATGTAAAAACCAAACAGGCTGGTTGTACCCATGTTATACAACAATCAAATTGGGTACAGTCAGCCTGCCCATACATGGTGGTTGTGCAGGGACTGGACAAGATTTGAAACCCAGATTGGACAGTTTAAATCCAGCCTTGATGAATTAGTCCAACTTTTTTTAGTTGAATGAAAATTATGAAATTAAAGTGGTATAAAAGGACAAATTTTTTTTTTTTCTTTTTTTAACCACTTCCAGACCGGACACTTTTACCCCCTTCCTGACCAGGGCAATTTTCAGCTTTTAGCGCTATCACACTTTGAATGACAATTGCGGCGTGCGGTCATGCAACACTGTACCCAAATTAATTTTTTTACCTTGAGATAGATAAAGCTTTATTTTGGTGGTATTTATTCACCGCTGGGATTTGTATTTTTTTTTGCTATGTAAATGAAATGTCCAAAAATTTTGAAAAAAAAGTGTTTTTTTTATAAAATTTTGCAAATAAATAATATTTCATCATAAATCTTAGCCAAAATTTATTCCGTTATCTTTTTAGTAAAAAAAAAAAAAATCCAAATTAGTTTTTATAAGCAAAAATTATAATTTTTAAACATTTTTTTTTTACATTTTTATTTTATTTTTTTTTATTATTATTTTTTATTTTTATTTTTATTTTTTACATACTGTCATTTACAGTGTCACCATGGTGACACTGTACTACTTGTGAGGGGTGATGAAGATTTTTTTTTTTTTTTTTACACTGATTGCTTTTACACCCATATAGGATGTAAAAGCAATCATTTCTCTTTCTCTCTGTGTGCATTCATCACTCATTGAGAAGAACTGAGTGAGCTGTGATTGGTCACATCCTGTCACATGGTACAAGGCTTTTGTGAATAGCCTTGTACCATGTGACCTCTGTGATCATTCACAGATTTCACACATAGTAAGCCAACAAGTGACATCTTGCTTACTACTTTGCATGTGATCACTGATTGGCCAATCAGTGATCACTCGGGACCTCGTACAGAGGTCCCGTCGACGATCGGTGTTTCACTGTGTCCGGAGGACACAGCGGGCAGATCGCTTGCTGCGCGCGCTCCCAGTAGCGCGCACAACAGGGTGCGGGGAGCTCCGTTTATTGACGGCCACCCGACCCTGCAGTGCCACCGTCCGGCCGTTTATATACAACGGCCGGTCGGCAAGTTTTAATAACAACCATTTCATATTTACATTTTTGTGCAGAGAGCTGCCCTGATCCTCCTCCTTCTCAGATCCCCCACCGGCACTCCTGGCCCCTCCCTCCTGCTCCTTACTGCTTCTCTGGGTGTCCGTTCAGGCTTCATGTACACGAACAGCTCCTAAACTCGAGTTTAGGAACCTTTTTTTGGCTTTTTTTTTTTGTCAAGGTTCCTAAACTCAACTCCATAAAAGCCTGTGTCCATGTACACATAGGCTTTTAGCAGAGTTTAGAAGCTGCCGCGTTTTTAGGTGAGGTTAAACCTCCCTCTCCCGAACACGGAAGAATCACGTTCAGGATGAGAACCTTTTGACTGCCGACCGCGGCTGGCAGTCAGGGTAGGCTCGTGTTCATAAAGCCTCTCACACACAGTACGACTTGGGCCCGCTCACTCCTCATTGGCTCACTGGTTGACGTGGCTCCTGCTGCTGGCTCAGCCAATGAGGAAGAGCCCCTGGAGAGGGTGTTGGATCTTGATGGGGCCTAGGTAAGTATTCGGGGGGCTGCTGCACAGTTTTTTGAAGGTTAAAAAAAACCTTAAACCTTTACAGCCACTTTAATATGGTAAAAGTGTTTTACAGGAAGGGTTTTTTTTTTTTTTTTTTTTTGCCTGTAACAGCCAATGTGCTTCCAACTGCAACTTCGCCAGTACAGTATAAGAACTTTTTTTTTTTTTTTTTGTTCTGCACCTCTCCCCCATGCAGAAGCCCTTCAAGTTCTGGGACTTGAGTTCTATGTTTCATTTGATTTATGCTTTTTCTGGCCTATTTCAGTAGCAGAAGAAAAAGCTTACATATTTCTCCCATGACAGCCTTACATTAAATATACACCCTTATGCAATCTGTTTTAGGTACTATGGAAAGAACTATTAAACTAGACTGCAGGAAAACCGCAAAACACAAAATTGAACTATATATGGTATGCTTAAATATGCGTGTCCACTGTCTTACATGCTCAAATATTAACACTGTTCAGGTATTCTTGTGCTCTGCACTCCTGTGCCCGATAGTACAGTTTGGTGACCCCACTTTTTTGCCCTGCGTATAAACAGTACTGTTTTTGGTCACCATCTTGCTGATTGAAAGTTGATGAGTATGGTCATGCTTAGGCCTCATTCACACTTACGAATGGGGCAGTGTGCAATTAGGTGTAGGAGACGGCCCTTAGAAAGTAATGGGATGCAGCTTCTGCAGCTAATCGCAACCACTCCTATGTAGTTGGTCATGTAGTAATAACCTGTGAGTGATTGGCCCTGCGGTTCTCACATGTAATCGCACAGGGCCCCATGTGTGTGTGACCTTAAATGGTATTTGTGCCTAGAGTTTTTAAAGTGGTGTGTTATTTGTATATGTAGCTTTTAAAGAAGTTTGTGGCACATGCCAGGCTATACAAAAAGCAAGCATAATGACCATAAAGCCAGAAAATGGAACGTTCCCTGCTGCTGCCCACTGACTATCCAGTTTGCATTGTTTTGCTTGCTTATGGGGAAACTTGCACAGGAGTGTCTTTCTGACATAAAGGGGGCACTATATAGCCTTACAACCATAAACTTTGTGGTTTGTCTCCAGTGTACTAGTAAATGTTGGACCTGTTGTATAAAAATGTCAAGGTGACAAATGGCTGGTATGTGCTGCTTTCTGAGGAAGCTGGTAATACTGTTTAAAGTATTCTGAATTTGTGCTGTATGGAGGGAATGTGCTGTTTGTTGTGTTTTTTAAGTGCACAACATATCAGTTTTTTTTTCCCCCTTTTTTTCTGATCTTTAGCGATTTTCAATGTGTGTTCATGGTTATGAGTAATAAAAATAATTAAAGTGGGGAAACTTGAGTTTCCAGCATTGATATGTTTTAATAGATACAAAAGAGGTTCTTGTTTTGGTGTAGGAGATTGTTGTGAGCAGGTTCCCCTCAATCTCATGCAGAACTAGTGTGTTTTCATATCTGCACAGCTTTTAGAGAAGAATCCTGTCTGAAATCAGTGAGGCTGAGTAGATGATCACAGCCTCAGACTATATATGGGCCTTGGGTAAGTGCTTGTGTTATATTTATATCTCTGGCCTGCTGGAGTAGTTGTGGAGTCAGAACAAATGTTGTTTTGGAAGCTGTCCAGCTCTGAAAGCAGAATTTTGCAGTTCCCTTTTGTACAGTGTAACACTGAATTAGAGTTACACATACAGTGGAATACATTGTATGCAAAGTAGTAGCCTGCAATAACTGATATTACCTTAGTCAGTCAAAAAAAAACAAAAAAAAAAAATCTTAGTGGTTCTAAAGGCTGAAAGTTTTTACCTTGATGCATTCTCTGCCCCTCCTGATACTCACCTGAGCCTGATCTTGATCCAGTGTTGTGTACGAGGACAGTGGCTCTCTCTGCTCTCTTCCTCCCCATAGGCTGAGAGGCAGCAGCAGGAGCCATTGGCCTCCCTAGCAAGCAGCCTATCATGGTGGGCACTCAGTGGGGGGGGAGAATAGCCAGGAGCACTGGTGGGGGACCCAAGTGGAGATGGATCATGGCTGCTCTCTGCAAAACCATTGCACAGAGCAGGTAAAGTATAACATCTTGCTTAAACAAAAAATGACTTTGTCCCAATATGACTTACATGTTTTCCATGTTTATGTTCAAAATGTCTTCGTAGAGTAAAAATACCTGGTGATCCTGCCCATTACTTTAACTTCATCCTGGCGGCAACAATCTGCAGGCTGATCTACCCTATGCAGTGTTGCCACCGTGGTGTCATATCCTACCCCCCCCCCCCCCCCCACAAAAAAAAAAATACTCTTACCTATTGAATCTCCCAGCAGTGCTTGCCTCCAGAGTAGACAGTGATGTGATGACTGATGGCATTACTGCATATATGAATGAGGAGACACAGATCAGAGGGCCTACAAAGCTGCGAATTCGTCAGTTGTAACAGTGTTGTTGGCCAACTTTTTGCAATTTTCCTGGAGTTCACTTTGGAGGACTGTAAATATCTATTTTTAACATTAAAACAGACCTTCCTTAAAAACAGAACTTGATACCCCCAGGAGGGGGGGGGGGAAATGAGTATGAAAGGATTCAAAATCTCACAAGAAATGCTCTCCTGAACATATTTGGGATCCTCAGCACTCCCAGGATGCTCCAGGGAGGGGGTAGGGAGGGCCTGATGCCTAGGCCACTTTAACTATTAAGATACCCTTGGCAACCAGTGCATGTCTTTCATAAGGTCACCAATACATGTGTCCGTTTTTACCTAATTCTGTCGTATATTTCGGCAAAAAATTTTATTTTCTTTTTTTTTCTTTTAGGAAGTTGAAAAGGAAAGAGATCCGTTGTCGTACCTCAGTAAGGAAGAAACCAAAGAGAAGATCCAGCTTTACAATGCAGCAGTTACTGACAAATTAAAGATGACACTGGTAAAACTCTCTTGTATTTTTTATATATATATATATTTATTTGTATTTTAAAAAGTGCATGTTTTAAGTTGTTCTCCCACAGGTAGTATCATCCTGCTTGTCATTGTCGTGGAGACAATGGCCTGCCAGTGGCTGGGTTTAGTTTCCAAGTAGTGTCCTCCAGCATGCCAATTCAAGAGCTCTTGTGGAAGTGTGTGTGTGTCTGGGGAGATTGTTGTCATGTAGTCTAAACAGTGTCAAAGATTACCTTCTTTTTGCTGTTCTGAATGAATAAATGGTGTATGTCTATAAATGTACACTGCTTTTACCTAAAGGCATAAGGTGCAGAATCTGCTATGAACACTTACCTGTAATTTAGGCTGTTAGTGCAGTAAAGTATCTTAGTTTTTGTTTGAGAACAAATAGACCAAGTTACTTTTTTTTGCAGTTATTGCTGCTGCATTCAAGTGACTGTACACTGGCACACAAAGCTATCGTGACAGGCCTAGCAAAACACCTCCCGCTCCCAGCAATCCTCAGTTTTTTGTTCGATTTACAGACTACATCCTATTGTTTTGAAAGAAGCACATATATTTTTATTTTTTTTCTTTGTTTTTTTCTTTTTTCCTAATACTTTTAATTCTTCTTCTGTCAAGCCTTTAGCTGCTTATAGCCACTACAGCTTCCATTTGTTAGGACTCATCTGCGCCTTGGGAGAACCGTACCTGGAGTTGCAACCCAGGGATGTTGGTTTCATATTGCCTGACGCCCGGGACATGTAGTTCAGGGCGCTGGGCAGGTAGTTTTTTTTTTTTTTTTTTTTTTTACCTTTAGCCCTATATCCGCATATGCTGATCGCCAGTATATCTGCTTGCCGGTACAAGATGTATGGGCAAGCAGATATATTGCCAGAAAGATTCACTGAACTACCACAGTGCTCTATTCATCCATGCGGCCAATCGTGGTACTCTTCCGACTGCAGGCGCAGGCAATGACGTCACTTCCGGCTCAGAGAAAGTGACTTCGGGCAAGAGGAAGTCAGTCCATGGCAATCTTAAGGCTGCCAAAGCCTGGCCTGAAGGCAGGAGCAGACCAGTTCGCACTGTCCCTGATGGCGGCGCCAGGATCCACAGCGCTGGGCAGGGATCATCATCACAGAAAATAAGAGCCAGCGTTATGGCATCGGGTGCCATCTGTTTATGTCCAAGTTGGCTGGGTGAGCATGGAGGCGCCTCAAGACCCTGACCCTAAGGTAAAGCTGAAGTTATTTGGCTTCTCGCTCTTTACCCCCTGGTGGAGGGGGGCACCAGGGCATTCTTCTCCCTCACTGGCGTCCCCTGGGAAAGATTACCCCATTTTGTGGCATTCTCTGATAGGTGGCGGGCAGTCTCCTAGATTGTGTCCTCCCCGCCTCTGGTTTTACATGAGTCAATCACAGGTGGTGATCAGCCGGCATGTAGGATCGGTTCTTCTCTTTGGTGGCGGTCTCTTCTGGTTGGGGGAACCTGATGGGTTTTTTTGGCACCCCTTTAGTGTTCCCTCTAAGATCCTTACCGCCTTTTGTCCTCTCTTTTAGGACAAAGGGCAAGATCAAAGGGAAAGCAAGGAAGACCCGCACAAGAGAATATGTTTGGCTTGTAAAAAAAAATTAATCTTCCAGCTGGAAGGGAGAGTCCTTTGCTAAGGTTGTCTGGACAGTCTTTTCAAAAAAGATGGGTCCTTTTTAAGTGGATTTATGGATAGTATGAAGAAAGAAATGATGCAATCTATCCAGTCCTTTAGGTCACTTATGCAAAGGAGGACAGATAACATCTCAGCTTTGGACCCTCTTCCTAGTACCTCAAACGCCTGTACTGCTACACTTCCTTTAGCACCCATTCAGGTATCGCAGGAACTAGGCATCCTAGAAGAACTGAAAGAAGATTCCAATTCTTCTTTGGAATCTGAAGAAGGTGAACTAAAGGAAGAAAAAGCTTCCAAATTTACAAAGATTTGTTTCCCTCAGAGGAAACAGAACTACTCAAAGCCATCTACGACACGCTGAAACTTGAAGAAAATAAAGTGCTCTCAATTCATGATCAACTGTACGCAGGCCTTCAGTCTAAGCAAGTCAGAACCTTTTCCATTTTTCCTTTTACACCCAGCCTTGAAAAATGCGATAATTCAGGAGCGTCAGAAAAGAGTCCTGTTTCCAAAAAAATCTAAAGAGGAGATTCCCCTTTAAAGAAGAAGACACTAGTCTGTGGAACAAATGTCCCAAACTGGACGCCTCTTTATCCAAAGTTTCTAAAAAGTTGGAACTTTCCTTTAACGGATCCTTTAGTGAACCCGGATCCTTGGACAGAAAAGTGAAAGGTTATCTGAGGCATGCATGGGAAGCTTATGCAGTAAACTTTAAGCCAGCTTCAGCCTCCATGTGCGTGGCAAAACCTTGGACCTTTTGGTTGAAGCCGCCCCATACTTTCCTGGAAAGGGATACCCCTAGGGAGGAGATTTTGGAGGCTTTACCCACTCCTAACAAAGCTGTGGCATATATTGCTGACACTTCCACCAAACTGATTAAATTCACAGCAAAATTTGGGGCTTTTGTTAATGAAGCAATGAAGGGCAGTCTGGTTGAAAACATGGAACAACACCACAACTTCCAAAGCTAAGTTATGTGCTCTCCCTTTTGCAGAGTATCTGTTTGGGAAAGAGTTGGTCAGTTTCAGAAAGATCAGCAGATTAAAGAAGAGATTTCCTATCCTAAAGAAGCAGCAGTCTGAGAAATGTTTGTTTCTTCAGGCGTCCACAGAGCAAAAATAATGGCACGCAAGATCAGAAGAAATTATGGCAGTACGACAGAGGGGGAGGAAAGAAAGGGTTGCATTTTCAGCCCTGCCCAATCTAAGGAAAAGCCATAATGACTCAGCCTGCCAGGGTGGGGGGCAGACTGGGGTCCTTCCTCACACAGTGACAGACAATCACCAACAGCTTTATCCTGGACCTCATTGCCATGGGGTACAGGATAGAGTTCGATGGCAGACCCCCCCAGTAGGATGTCTAGTAATGCCTCTTTTAAAAGACCAAACAAAAGCAAACCTTTTCTTAAGGCTAAAGCCTATCGGGAAATATCGTCTTACTTTAAATCTAAAATGGGTCAACACCTTTGCTTGGTGCAAAATGTTCAAAATGGAGTCAATATACTTTAAGAGGGATCGCCTAACACTAGCAGCCTTCATGGTGTCATTGGATTTGTGAGATGCATACCTACATATCCCTATCCTCCAAGAGTCCAGGAAGTTTCTCTGATTCACAGTTAAAGGACCGCAGAAGATTCAGTTTTTTCAGTGCAATCCCGTTTTGGTCTATCTTCCGTACCTTGGATCTTCACCAAAGTTCTGGCAGAAGTTTGCAGGATCTAAGGTCTGCTGGTGCCCAGATCATTACATGCTTAGACAACTTCTTTCTGTTTGCGGACTCAGAAGCAGAAGTACAGAAGAATCTAGATCTGACAGTCAATCACCTTCAAAATCTAGGATGGTTGATCAACATAGAAAAATCTTTCTCACGTAAGAAAAGGAGTTCTTGATGTCTTCTTAAAGATCCACTGCTGGATAAATAAATCTTGTGAGGATTTTGGTGCTAATGGCTGCAGCCACCCCAGGTGTACAGTGGGTTCAGTTCCACATGGGCCGTTCCAAAACTTCATGCTTTCAGCAAGAATCTCTGACTACGGAAGTGGTTATTCATCAGTCAAACAATCAGCATTTGGTTGCTCAATCTGAAGAATCTGCCAAAAGGGTGCTTCTAGTCACAGGCAAAGCCTTTTAGCAGGCACCACAGATGCAAGTGCATGGGACTTGGGGGCTCTCATAAACAACCATCTGGCCCAGGGAGCTTGGTCCACTCCTTGGATCAGAAGATTTTCCAACGAAAGGGAACGAAAGATTTTCCAACGAAAGCAGGCCTGGAATCCCTGATGGTCTTCAGACATACCGTGAGAGGATTTTCAAACCGTTTACAGAAAAATGGGGAAATCTGCTGATATGTTGGCAACAAGGAAAATGGAAATTGTGAATGATCCCAAAAGTAATCAAGAAAATTAAGTACATTGCTGCTGCAGTGATTCTCATTGCCCCCTATTGGCCTTAGAGAATGTGGTTTTTCAGGCTTGCTCAACCTAAATGTGACAGAACCTTAGAGGCTTCCTGATGCTCAGAACCGCCTACACCAAGATAAGGTGAATCACCTGTCAGTGGCCCAGCTTTCTCTGACGACCTGGCTTCTGAGGGGGAACTGTTTAAAAGGAAGGATTATACCTAAAAGGAAGGATTATCCCAAAAAGTAATTGAAACTATTCTAGTGAACAGGAAGACCTCTACCAATATTATATACCACAAAATATGGAAATGATTCTGTGAATGGCACAAAGAAAACAATCTCTGGGCTTATCATCCCAGCAGTCTTGTATGTCTTACAAGAGTCCTAAAATTTCACATGGCAGCTCTCTCTAGCTTCCTACCCCTACGCCTGATTGAAGACCTCCTAATCGAGAGGTTTTTAACAGCCATAGGACATGAGAGCCCACTCCTTCTATATGCTTGTCATAGGATCTTTCTGTTTGTGTTACAAGCCTTCTGTAAGGAACCCTTCGAAACTCTGAAAGACTGCCCCATAATGGGGCGACAGTGCTCCTGGTAGCTATAGTGTCAGATAGGAGGGTGAGCGAAATTTAAGTTCTTTCCATAGCAGAACCATTTTGTGTAGTACTTCCAGGTAAGATCATTTTAACTCTGGATCCGGCATTTCTTAAAGTTGACTCTGACTTCCATCGGTCAGAGGAGATTATCATTCCCTCCTTTTGCAACAACTCCAGCAATACAAAAAAAGGTGATTCAATAAGGTTGTTGTGAGATCTGTACATATATCAAGCACACTAAAGACTGGCAATCCATCTCCAGTTTATTTGTTTTATTCGCAGGAACAAACAAGGGCGCTTCTAAGAACACCATTGCCAGGTGGATGAAGTTGGCAATCTCAGAAGCTTACAAGGCATGTGGTGGTCCCGCCTAACCAGTTAGTTCTATTTTGTCCTCTCTTGTAAGCTGTCCTGGAAGATGTCCTGGGAAAACAGTTATTACCTGTTAACTCATTTTCCAGGAATCTTCCAGAACGGCGCAATTTCACACCCTATGTTTTTGTGTAGAATTATTTAATTATAATAGATGTATTCCATGCCTTCGGTTATTTGGGATGACTGAGGACTGTGTACTTGTATGCTTTTTTTAAATGTGGATCGTGCGTTTCTTGTGCTAGGTGGAAGGAGCCTTACTTGTAAGCCATCCTGGAAAGTGAGTTAACCGATAACTGTTTTCATGACCTCATCTCTGTAATTCAAAAGATAACAGATCTGCCCTGTCAATGAGGAGGTATAACAGCAGGGATTACATCATATCCTCTCCTCTGTGCAGTAAAAAGCTACAGTTTTCATCAAACACAAGGAATTGTAGTGAATATAGGCAGGTACACTAGACCTGTACACGTTGAACGTGTCAGAGTCCTGGTTCACGCACCGCTGCAAGTGGGGCTCAATTACATCACTGCTTCCTGTAGAAAGAACTACAGAAGGGATGTGCAGGGACCAATGGCTGAGGGGAAATGTTTGCCTGTACAAGGACATCATCTGAGCCTACACTTTCTACCAGATCTGTCACTGCTTCATGGTGTTTTTGGCACCAGGCACCTGTTTCCCAAAGTAAGAATGGCTGCCATGTGGATGTCTGCCCATTTGTTTTCATAGGCCATTTAGTGTGTGTTGCATTGTTGCTAACTCCTCAGTTGCATTGCTTTTGGACACACCACAACTAAGATCCTGTGTCCTGTAATGTACGATAATGAGAGAGAGATTCAACTTGCCTCTAAAGTCCTTTTCTTGGAGTACAATACAGAACACAAGTCCCTCTACCCTGTTAATGATCGACTATGATCTGTATTGCTTGCTTTTAAACTTGGGTTTGCAGGGAATGGGTGGGTAATGCTGGGGCTATTCTTGCAGCTTTGTTTGCCAGTGTTGAATCACATGAGGGCAGCTGTATAGCTAAATAGTCTAACCGTAAGAACAAGTGTCTGGGAATGTATTCTAGGAAAAGGATTTTATATGTAACTCAGAATCCTTTTTTTTTCCCCATTTAGCATCCACGTTTGTTATGACAGTGTACTGAGCAACATTTGCCAAGAACAAACATTTTAAGAGGAAATTATGTACTGTTGATCATTTTCAAGTATGCTTTGTCAACTAAAGCATTGCTTTTCCTGACTGGATAGCATTGTTGAAGATTTAATTGCATTGTTGGATATTTAATAGCTTTTTTTGTTTTTGCTTTGTTTTGCAGAATTCCAATGGCATATATACAGGTTTTATAAAAGTACAGATGGAACTAAGACGACCAATCACTGTACGGGCACGAACACATGTACAGAGCCATGCCAATGGAAGTAACACTGCCTTCTACATGCCCAAAGGCAGTATAAACATTCTACATATCAGCAGTACCAACACTGTTCGGGAAGTCATTGAGGCCTTGTTGAGAAAGTTTATGGTTGCTGACAATCCTGCCAAGTTTGCACTTTATAAACACTGTCAGAAAGAAGATCAAGGTACTAAATAATACTATTCTATGTTATTGTTTGCATATAACAGAAGTACATTAAGTGCATTTGACTCTAGAGGTGGCACTTAATGTGTACTATTTGTCTTCGTGGTCATTTTCACCAAGAACGAACATGATGGAAAATCCAAAATTTTAGTTGTCACCAGGACAGGGGGCGAAGAGAACTGTTTCGATTGTAGCACCTGTTCCAGTGACAGCTGTATGAGAATAGATTTCCCCTTGCTCTGGAGAGATTGCCTCTGCTTTTGTCTCTAAGTCAGAAAGTGATGGGAAATGTTCCCAAATAGTATAATAAACCATTCCTAGCTTGTTGAAAACTTTTGGCTTTAGAGACACATTGAAGAACCTAGCACAAAGGCAGTTGTTTGTGTTCCTACAGTCCTTTTTGCGCACTCTATTTAAAGTGGAACTAAACCCATCATTTTAACAGTTTAAAAAAAAAAAAAAAAAAAAAAGTTACATTCCAGGCATGCCTGGAATGCTAAGGGTCACATGCTGTCAACCAAATGTCAAACCATCAAATGTTTGGTGTCATAACTAATTACGTGTGCAGTACCATGGCAGGTGTAGATCAGAGGTGAGATGGCAGTTGCCTTGGCTGAAACTAATAGGAGGGTTTACAGTCAGGTCCATAAAATATTGGGACATCGACACTATTCTAACATTTTTGGCTCTATACACCACCACAATGGATTTGAAAATGGATTTGAAATGAAACGAACAAGATGTGCTTTAACTGCAGAGTGTCATCTTTAATTTGAGGGTATTTACATCCAAATCAGGCGAACGGTGTAGGAATTACAACAGTTTGCATATGTGCCTCCCACTTGTTAAGGGACCAAAAGTAATGGGACAGAATAATCATAAATCAAACTTTCACTTTTTAATACTTGGTTGCAAATCCTTTGAAGTCTGGAACGCATAGACTTCACCAGACGCTGGGTTTCATCCCTGGTGATGCTCTGCCAGGCCTCTACTGCAACGTCCTTCAGTTCCTGCTTGTTCTTGGGGCATTTTCCCTTCAGTTTTCCCTTCAGTTTTGTCTTCAGCAAGTGAAATGCATGCTCAATCGGATTCAGGTCAGGTGAATGACTTGGCCATTGCATAACATTCCACTTCTTTCCCTTAAACTCTTTGGTTGCTTTTGCAGTATGCTTTGGGTCATTGTCCATCTGCACTGTGAAGCGGCGTCCAATGAGTTCTGAAGCATTTGGCTGAATATGAGCAGATAATATTGCCGGAAACACTTCAGAATTCATCCTGCTGCTTTTGTCAGCAGTCACATCATCAATAAATACAAGAGAACCAGTTCCATTGGCAGCCTGTCAAGGTCCTACCTTTTCCCAGAGACTGTGCGGCTTCATGTACTGGCGTCCATCTTGGGTTTCTGCAGAGCATGGTGGGAGTCTTTTTATGCCTTCAGGTCTCTGAGGTCCATCCCCCAGAGGGGTGTGGCTGAGTACATATAAGCCTGTGATCCGCACATGCTCTTTGCACTTGTGTCTTTGTGTTGCTACAGCTCTGTGTATACTCTCGTGACTCTTCTGGTATCTGACTCGGCTTGTGACTAGACCATTTTCTGTGTTTTTCCTTTGATCTGACCTTCCGTTGCTGAACCCGGCCCGTGACCTGTGATTCTTGTCTACTGTTCTGTACCGTTTTGTCCCGTTGTTGCCGACCCAGCCTGCCTGACTACGCTATTGTCATTCTTACCAGCTACACGCCATTGGCGGCAGCCATTACCGCAGCCGGGGTGTCTCGGGGCCCGCGACCTGGTTCCTGGCTGCGTCAAGTCCATCCCCACCATCAGGGGCCCTGGTGAAGGGCAGCCTGGGACTTGGACTCCGCGCCCTGAGGGACTTCGGTCTGTTGGTGGTGGTTGTTGTCAGTGCGTGAACCGGCCACTAGGTCTACCTGTCCGTTCCACAGCCCTGCCCTGACACAGCCATACATGCCCACGCCATGACACTACCACCACCATGCTTCACTGATGAGGTGGCATGCTTAGGATCATGAGCAGTTCCTTTCCTTCTCCATACTCTTCTCTTCCCATCACTCTGGTACAAGTTGATCTTGGTCTCATCTGTCCATAGGATGTTGTTCCAGAACTGTGAAGGCTTTTTTAGATGTCGTTTGGCAAACTCTAATCTGGCCTTCTTGTTTTTGAGGCTCCCCAATGGTTTACATCTTGTGGTGAACCCTCTGTATTCACTCTGGTGAAGTCTTCTCTTGATTGTTGACTTTTGACACACATACACCTACCTCCTGGAGAGTGTTCTTGATCTGGCCAACTGTTGTGAAGGGTGTTTTCTTCACCAGGGAAAGATTTCTTCAGTCATCCACCACAGTTGTTTTCCGTGGTCTTCCGGGTCTTTTGGTGTTGCTGAGTTCACCTGTGCGTTACTTCTTTTTAAGAATGTTCCAAACAGTTGTTTTGGCCACGCCTAATGTTTTTGCTATCTCTCCGATGGGTTTGTTTTGTTTTTTCAGCCTAATGATGGTGACAGCTCTTTTGGATCTTATCTTGAGAGTTGACAGCAACAGATTCCAAATGCAAATAGCACACTTGAAATTTAACTTTGGACCTTTTTTATCTGCTCATTGTAATTGGGATAATGAGGGAATAACACACACCTGGCCATGGAACAGCTGAGAAGCCAATTGTCCCATTACATTTGGTCCCTTAACAAGTGGGAGGCACATATGCAAACTGTTGTAATTCCTACACCGTTCACCTGATTTGGATGTAAATACCCTCAAATTAAAGCTGACAGTCTGCAGTTAAAGCACATCTTGTTTGTTTCATTTCAAATCCATTTTCAAATCCATTGTGGTGATGTATAGAGCCAAAAATGTTAGAATTGTGTCGATGTCCCAATATTTATGGACCTGACTATACTTCCACTTTTAAAATGGTCGTTTCAGCCATGCAACGCATCTTGTCATACTTTTCAAAACTGTAGTACTTAGATCTTGTTTGCATTTCTTTTCTGCCTCCTTTGAATGATAAAGAAATGTTTGTTGGTGGGTTTTTGTTTTTGAAGTTCAGTCCCATACCTGATCTAACCTGTTTCCAAAAGTTGAATCACATGGGGGGCTTTTTGTCCCTATGTGATGGGAAAAAAAATGTTTAGTAAAAATAAGTGTAATAAAATTAAAGTTCAACCCAAGCACTTAAAATCTCCCCCCCCCCCCCAATTTTTTTAACCCCCACATACATGCACTACAAATGAAAATGTATTCATCGGGGGTTCCTACGTTCAAAATTGCAGATTACTCATGTTGCATATCGCCATGCATGCTGGAATGAGAGCACTAATTCGAGGCAGATGACCCAAAGCATCAGCCATAGAAAATAGAGTACCAAAGTTTGTAGCCATGTTACGGGCGTATGCAGTTTTAAGATTTGACATGCTGGGTATCTATTTACTTGGCTCAACGACATCTTTTCTGTTTTTTGCCTCCCCCCCCAAAAAAAAAATTAACATCAACTCCTAGTGTTTTTTGCTTTTTGTTTTTTTCCTTCTGAAATGTTGTATTTCCTAAACCATTTTGCTAATATCGTATGACAATAACAAATTGGAACTATTATTATTATTATAATACAGGATTTATATAGTGCCAACGGTTTTGCTCAGCGCTTCCCATTATAGTGGGAGACAATACAGTAACGATACAGTTCAATACAAGAGAAATTACAATCTAGGAGGGAGGGGTTAATGGTACAATAGGTAATAACTGTAGGAGATGGAGTGGTTGGAAGAGTAGAGGAATCCAGTATTAGCAGAGGGCTGGATAGGCTTCCCTGAAGAGAGAGGTTTTCAGTGATCCCCTAAAAGTAAGTAGAGTAGGCGATAGTCTGATAGATTAAGGTAGGGAGTTCCAGAGGATGAAGGATGCCCTGGAGAAGTCCTGGAGACGAGCATAGGAGGAGGAGGAGATAAGGTAGAGCGTAGGAGGTCATGCGAGGAGCGGAGAGTATGGTTTGGGTGATATTTAGAGACAAGATCGGTTATGTAATTTGGGGCAGTGTTTTGGACGGCTTTAGTGTTTTGAATTTTATCCGTTGGGCAACTGGGAGCCAGTGGGGGGATTGGCAGAGAGGGATGGCAGATATGGAATGGTTAGTAAGGTGGATGAATCTGGCAGCAGCATTCATGATGGACTGAAGAGGGGATAGCCTGCGATGAGGTAGGCCAATGAAGAGGGAGTTGCAATAGTCAAGGCGAGATTTAACAAGGGAGCGAATAAGTTGCTTAGTGGTTTCCGAGGCTAGGAACGGTGGTATCTTGGAGATGTTGCGGAGGTGAAGTCTACAAGATTTTGTCAGCGATTTTAGATCTGGGGCTGGAAGGACAGATGGGAGTCTAGGATTACACCTAGTACCCTGGCATGAGGGGAGGGACTGATGATTGTGTTATTGATCTTGATGGAGAAGTCAGGGGAGGGGGCACGGACTGGGGGGAATACTAAGAGCTCAGTTTTGGAAAGATGGAGTTTGAGGAAGTGTAGTGACATCCAAGCCGATATGTCACTTAGTAGGCTAGTGATGCGAGTGGAGACTGAAGGGGTGAGGTGAGGGGTAGACAGATTTGCGTGTCATCAGCTACATAGAGATGGTAATTGAACCGTGAGCTACCACTATTTTATTCTCTAAAGTGCCTGCTTTCACAAAATATGTAATGGCTTGAGGGTTTTATAGAATCTTCAGACCTAAAATGATTCTTTTAAACATGTAAACAAAATATGCAGGCATGGCTCTGCAGTCAAAGGGTTAAATGGTATGGCTACATGATGATGCCTCTGCTACTTTTACAAGGTAATAACTTGGCTTTCAGAGGCATCATCATAGTGTGTACACAACCTGTGCTGGGAGCAGAGCTGTGGGAGGGGATCCAGGAGGTCCTCCCTCTATAGGCTGCTTGCAGAATATTAGAGGAGGGGACCTATACAAGACTGGTCACCATACACAAGGAAGAGAAAGCAGTGATTGGCCTTGATCACAGGAAGCTCCTGCCCATTGCCAGAGTTTCACACTGGATTGCTTCACCTATCTGAAAGAAATACTCAACACACACCAAGACTGAAGTCAAGGACACATTCAGAAGGAAAAAAAATAAATATATAATATACTGTGTGTGTGTGTGTGTGTAATATGTTTATTTACTTTTCTGGCGGTCCACCCTAATGTACATTTGCTTGCACACTCCGGCAAAAATTAATACCTGTCAGACTCCCCTAACTGCTGCTGTCCAATAGGGAAAACTGCAGGATTGCCTGCAATAGGGTTGTAGCATATCCTGCTCCCTGGAATCTATTCAGACTGTGGTGAATCTATACTTAAACTGATCTTAGGATATCCCTCATGTTTAATTATTGTCTATTACATCGCTTTGGAGATTTTGTCATTACAATTCTGTATGTTGTACTGACATTAAGAACCTGCATTCAGGTTTTCCAGGCAGACCCATTTCTACTTTCATTGCTTCTTTTGTAATCATTGCAGGAAGTTTTACCTGCATGATCTTAAAATATATGTGCTCAAAATAAAGCAGTAAGCAAAACAACCATGAGAGGCAAGAAGGAATCTGACAGAGTACCCACACTTGGGGAAGACTTGTTGATAAATGTTCATAAGTGAATGGGATCTGTATATACTACCGCATTTACAGTTAGTGTTACTAAACCCACAACAGTAATATCAGTCTGTATATGCAGTAAAGTATGCTTGTTATACTCACTATGGAACGTAAGGGGTTAATCCTCTGCATTGTGTAAAAAGACTGATCCTTTCTTCTCTGCCCCTCCTTTTTGAAATGATCACCTGATAAACTGAATCCATAGTCACATGCTCATGCTCAGTTTAGTGTGTATTGCTATAGAGGGGTGTGTTTTGTTTTTTTTTTCTTCGGAGAGTGTATGTGATCAGCACAGGGCCAATCGGCACTGCCCAGACAGAGGGTCAGGGGTTTCTCATCCTCCTAGAGCAGAAAGAACACTCCTCCTACAAGCTTTAACCAGTGCTTTGCTGAAGTCACAAGACTGCTCTAACTGCTGAGAAAAGTATTTAGTTTATATTTACTAAAGTGATTGCATTTCCATGTTCTGTGTACTATGGGAGACCAGATATAGTGAATGCAGGGTCCTGGGTTTTGTATCACTTTAATACTTTTCTTTGTTCCCTCCACAGTTTACATGTGCAGGTTATCTGACAGAGAGCACCCCCTCTATCTTCGTCTGGTTGCTGGGCCGAATCTTGAAACCCTTAGTTTTGTACTACGAGAGCATGAAACTGGAGATGTCATGGTAAGAAATTAGGGTTTTGTATGGTTTTCTACTTTATGCAAAATAAAAAAGATCTGTTTAAAAAAATAATAAACAGGTCTGGTTGGTACATAGTGCAAAAGACACATAAAAGTGATGCAGTACATTAGCAGCATATACAATTGAGGGCATAGATTTTTCTCTGATATAGCAATTTAAACAGCAGAGTAGTCCAGGACAAGGAGCAGTATAACCTCATAAAATGTAGGTGCACAGCAAGGAAAACAAACACTCATAATTCAGCCCACAGATGAGGTAAGAAATAATTATGGTTTTACTTGTACCAGCTATTGATTTGAAAACGCTCTGCTAAAATGACAAATCACAGAACCACATGTTCAGGTGCAATTCATTTTAATAGCACCTGAAAATGTGTTGCGTTTTTGCAGCACAATAAATCACACTGCAATTGCAGCAGGCCGCATCATGTGAAGCTTGTTGCCCAAAAGAAGTTCGACGTGCTTCACAATGTGGTTTTGCCGCGTTTGGCAATGTGATTTTCTTGCATGAGAACCGTGGCAGAACCGATACGCCTTTTCGGAACGGAACATACAGTTCTGCAATTTTGTCCTGTTAGCAGAGCATTTTGAAAATGCAGGCAGAATCGCAGGGATTCTGCTCAATCTTTAAAACGCCCATGTGAGCATGCAGCCTCAAGATGAATCACCCCACAGAACCTATACCAAATATCCCTTAGGCTACGTTCACACTGGTCCGCCGCAAAAACACTTATGCACTTTTTGCCATGCTTTTTTATTTTTTTTTTTTTTTTTTTTTTTTTTTATGGATACGACTTAAAAATTGCACCAGAAACTCTTCTCAGAGTTGTTTTCAGGCGTTTTTTCCATTGAATTCAATGGGAAGAGGTGTTTTGGGGGCTTTTTTTAGCCGCTTGCCCTGCAGAGGATATACCCCTCTTCATAACCAGGCCATTTTTTGCGTTGCAGTGCTGCATCACTTTAACTGAAAATTGCGCAGTCATGCAACACTGCACCCAAATGAAATTTACATCCTTTTTGTTCCCATTAATTAAGCTTTCTTTCAGTGGTATTTGATCACCTGTGCAGTGTTTTTGTTGTGTGTGTGTTTGTTTTTTTTTTTTGGTTTTTTTATAGCGCAAAAAAAATGCAGACAATTCTTAGAAAAAAAATATTTTTGATTTTTTGCTATTAAACAAGTCCAGTAAATTAAAATATCATCGTCTTAAATTAGGCCAAAATGTATTCTGCTACGTCTTTGTGGAAAAAAAAAATTGCAAATACCGTATATACTCGAGTATAAGCCGAGTTTTTCAGCACATTTTTTGTGCTGAAAAACGGCCCCCTCGGCTTATACTCGAGTCAACGTCTGCAGATGTCTAGCAGGGGGACAGAACAGAAGGGAAACTAAGTACAGGGGTGGGCAGGGGGCTGCTGTCTCTTACCTGGCTCCGGTCCCACGACGATCCAGTCCAGGAAGCGCGGCTGCTCCTTCATTCGGTTCGTCCACTGGATGTGCTCACCGGTGATTGGCTCCGCCTTCTCACCGGCGAGGAGGCGGAGCTGAGCGGCCCCCCCGAAAATCGAGTGAAGGAGATGCAGGTAAGTGTGCCGTGCTTAGGTGCTGCTTCAACCACATATGCTTGCTGCAGCAGCACCATACTGGAACAGGGGTCAGCAAGTGTCAGTGGGAGGAATAGTGCCCCATCATTGGTGTCACTGATACCAATGATGGGGCATTATTCCTCCCACTGTCACCAACGATGGGGCACTTTCCTCCCCCCCCCCCCCCCCCCCCCCCCCCACACTGGGACACTGACACCAATGATGGGGCACTATTCCACCCCCCACTGACACCAATCATGGAGCACTATTCCACCCCCACTGACACCAATCATGGGATACTATTCCTCCCCCCCACTGACACCAACGATGGGGCACTTTTCCTCCCCCCCCCCCCCCACTGACACCAGCGATGGGGCACTATTCCTCCACACCCCCCCACTGACACCAATGATGGGATACTATTCCTCCCACTGACACCAATGATGGGACACTATTCCTCCCACTGACACCAAAGATGGGACACTATTCCTCCCACTGACACCAAAGATGGGGCACTATTCCTCCCACTGACTCCAAAGATGGGGCACTATTCCACTGACACCAATAATGGGGTGCCTCATTTCCCACCCTCGGCTTATACTCGAGTCGATAGTTTTTCCCAGTTTTTTGTGGTAAAATTAGGTACCTCGGCTTATATTCAGGTCGGCTTATACTCGAGTATATACGGTACATGTAAATTAATTGGTTTACATGAAAGTTATAGCATTTACAAATGGCAGCATATATACTGGGATTTTCTTTTTTTTTTAAATTTTTCCTAGTAATGGTAATCTGCGATTTACAGCAGGACTGCAGCAGGCATTCTGACACTGGGGGTGTCACTGACATCCCCAGTGACACCAATACAGTGATCAGTGTTAATAGAAAACACTGACACTGTACTAGTGGCACTGGGCAGGAAGGGGGTTAACATCTGGGGATCTCAAAGGGTTAACTGCTGGGAATGTTACTATGTGTCTGTTGTGTGCTTCACTGAAAGCATACTGCTTTGCATGCAAAGCAGTGTGCATGACCTGTTAGGGAGGAGAACTGCTTTGTTTAACAGTTCTCCTCCCTTGTGCACGCCCCCTATCTGGAAATGCAAAATCACGTGTATATATAAGTGATTTTGTGCACCCGTGCCATCCTGTAGCAGTATATCTATTATAGGGTGGACAGGAAGCGGTTAACTGCACAAACATGCTCCAAAGATACTGGAAGCAGGAGTTTTTACACCGCAATGGAAGCGCAACACCCCAGTGTGAAAACATACATAGGGAAGCATTTTTCATGAGCTTTTCAGGCACTTTTTATAACGCAAAAGCTCTTTACAAACTCAGTGTGAAAGTATCCTCAGTTAAGACTGAAAACGGCGCTTGACAGTGGTATACGTAAACAATCTCTATAGCTGATGAAAAATACCAAAACGGCTAAACAAAGTTCTTGATGGCCGACTAGTCCACACAAGTTTGTGATTAGTGTTTATAACATTCCATATAAAGTGCTGATAAAGGTGGTGTTCCCAGGTGGGATATGTACCATTGAATGGCCCCCACGCCCGCCTGACCTAAATCCAATAGCACACCTCTGGGATATTATGTTTTGGTCCATCCGACGCTGCCAGCTTGCACCTGACTGTCCAGCAGCTCAGTGATGCCCTGGTCCAGATCTGGGGGGAAATACCCCAGGACACCATCCATCGTCTCATTAGGAGCATGCCCTGACGTTGTCAGGCCTGCATACAAGCATGTGGGGGCCATACAAACTACTGAGTACCATTTTGAGTTGTTGCAATGAAATTTCAGCAAAATGGACTAGCCTGCTGCATAATTTTTTCACTTTGATATTTGGGGTGTCTTTGAATTCATTTCTCTGTAGGTTGGTCATTTTCATCAAACGGTGGGGCATCCTTATGTTCCCAACACATTACCCAGCCCGTATCAGTATAGATATCCAGCATGATATTTTCCCCATTGAGATCTAATGTGTTTTCAAAGTGTTCCTTTAATTTTTTTTGAGCAGTGCATATTCAACAATTGCTGAGCCATCAACTGGTGAAATATGTGACTAAAGCCCTGGTTCACACTAGATCTGAGTTTGAAATTGTGCGGCTTCACTTGAAGTCGCATGATTTCAAAGTCAGATGGCAGTGCGACTTTATAGTTGTCTATGCGAGTCACACTCCAAATCTGCAAAAGTAGTGCACTTTGTTGGCATCGCAATGATTAGACCGTTTCCCTTGACAATCATTGGATGTGATTTGTCATGTGATTTGACTGATGCGAATTCGGATGCAATTTGAACAATGTGAACCAGGGCTTACAGATGTACATATAAGTGAATGACGTTTAGGCCTTGTTCACATGTGGCGTACATAAATGTACTGCTCTGGAAGGCCATGTGTACTCCCACATGGGATGCACAGGTGTTCACGTGCATTCCTGTGCAGGCAGTCCCATTGCTTTCAGTTGGACCGCAGCAGCTGCACAGTCACTGTTCCCAGTGTAACCTACATACAGGTGCACTGCTACAAGCAGATGTCAGATTCAAATCGGTGCCTGTGTTCATGCAGCCACTGCATCCTAATTGTCAGCAATGGCACTGCCTGCACAAAGATGCACAGAACACTTGTGCATCCCATTGTGGGTACACACAGCCCTCCACAGGGGTATGTTTATGTACACTGCATGAACGAGGTCTTGGAAAACAGTGTTACTCTCCGATCTGGAAGATATTACAGAATCAATGTGTAACTGTATTTTTAGATCTATGGCAATGGTTGCAGGCTTTGATATCTGATGGAAAGCTGTTCAGCTTTTGCCCACGTTTTTCATGTTGGTGTGTTTTCAGTAATTGTGTTTTGTACTGATCTATAACAAATGCTGTTGTGATTCATAATCTATTTTGGCATATTAACCACTTGCCTACCAGGCACTTATACCCCCTTATTTACCAGGCCAATTTTCAGCTTTCAGCGCTGCCGCACTTTGACAATTGCGCGGTCATGCAACATTGTACCCATATGAAATTTTGATATTTTTTTCTCACAAATAGAGCTTTCTTTTGGTGGTATTTAATCGCCACTGGGCGCTTTACTTTTTGCGCTAAAAAATAAAAAAAGTGTAAAAAATTTGAGAAAAAAAAAAGTTTCTTTTGTTTCTATTATAAAATTTTTCAAACAGGTATTTTTTCTCCTTCACTGATGTGCGTTTGATGAGGCGGCACTGATGGGCACTGATAGGCAGCACTAAAGGGCACTGATAGGCAGTACTAATGAAGTGGCACGAATAGGCGGCACTAATATTCAGCACTGATAGGTGGCACTGATGGGTACTGATAGGCGGCACTGACTGGCATCACTGCTGGGCACTGACTGGTACAACCCCTGGGCACTGACTGGTGGCACTGACTGGTGGCACTGACTGGTGGCACTGACTGGCAGCACTGGTGGGCGGGCACTGGTGGGCGGGCACTGGTGGGTGGCACAGGTAGGTGGCACTGCAGAGTGGCACAGGTGGGTGCACTGCTGGGTACAGGTGGGTGGAGCTAGTGGGCGCACTGCTGGGCACAGGTGGGCAGAACTTGCGGGTGGCACTGCTGGGCACCGATCATCAGGGCACTGATCATCAGTGCCCTGGTGATCTGTGCCGATCCCCGCTCTGACAACTGCCGGTTCTCGGCAGTACTTTCCTCACAATCTGACAGCGTGAGGAAAGTGCAGCCGAGAACCGGCACTTGCATTTCCCTGTGATCAGCGTGTCATTGGACACCGCTGATCACTTGGTAAAAGGCCGCTGTGAGTGGCCTTTTACCATATCACATGATCAGCTGTGTCCGTAGGACACAGCGATCACGGAGATCGCCGGGTGCGCGCCCCCTGGGGCGCGCAGGAGAGCGCGTTCTGGGAGGACGTCATATGACGTCCACTCAGAACTGGCCGGCCGCAGTACAGCCATCATTCGGCTATCTGCGGTCGGCAGCTAGTTAATATTAACTGTTTGCCATATCATGAAAGGTAAATATGTTTTAACATACCCTTGTCATGTAAAGGGTTTCTGTTAGTAATTGTATTTAAATAAGTTACGTTCTAAACCACGTTTGTACTGGTTTGATTATATGTTTTGAATTGTGTTTCAGTGGGAAGCCTTCACAGTACCAGAATTGCAGAACTTCTTGCGCATCTTAGACAAGGAAGAAGAGGAACAATTGCAGAGTTTAAAGCGACGCTATTCATCCTACAAGGAGAAGTTAGAGGAAGCTTTGAGTGGCGTACACAAACCTGGCTAAAACCAAGGCAGAGGGAATTTGTATGTTAATGCATGATGGAGCATTGCAGCTCTGTCCAACAGAGACTTGCTTGGCAGGGTATATATTCCTGAAAGGACGTCTATCTGAAGTGTCATAAACTGGCCCCAAACCTAGTCTATGTGGACAAGGATACTGACTTTTACTGAGACTTTATAGAGGTTACCTCTGCACAGGTGGTATTTGCTGCAGACAATCCACAAAACAAAAACCTTCATAAATGTGTTTTCTTTTTCATGTAAATTATAAAAGCTTTAATCTATTAAGATAGGATTGTGTTAAACATGTCAAGAGCTGTTATTTATGTGAAGAACATATTTCTATGGTGATTGCTTACTGGGGCAACTGTTTGAGTTTGGCCAATTCAAGCACGCACTCGACACCTGAAGATTCAAAAGAATTAATGAAGGTTGTTGGAGAATCCAGCTTCCAGGCTTAATAGCAAGTGTTGAAATGGGAGGTGGAGATAAGGGAACAGACAGGGACTTTCTGAGAAAGTGTAGGAAGTTTTGATTAGGTGGAAGTAATGACAGACAATAAGGAAGCTGCCCACCGCTGCAGAGTAGAGGAGTAACTATGCAGTCAGCACAACATGTTACAATCAAGTTTGTGTGTCTTGTTGTGTAGAAATACATATATTAAGCTGCTACAAAGGAAGTAATATATACAAATTAAAGCTGTCTGCAATGGGAAAGTCAACAGTTCATGTTCAGCTGCTTTACAAAGTATATTTCATGACCTTTCAGAGATTTCTGTTGGTTAGTGGTATGTAGTAAGAAAGGTAGAGGGAAGTTATAAGTTTTCAGTTAAAATATCTTTTGATGGCAGTCCTATTTTATTATAGGTTAGCCACATAATAGAATAGCCCTAGATGTGGAATGGTTTCCATTCCTATTGAAGTGTGGAGGATACTGGTTGATTTTTTTTTTTTTTTTGTTTTTGTTCTTTTTTTGTTTTTTTTTTTGTTTTTTTTGTAACCAGTACGTGGGCACAGACAGAGGATGAAAGTGATAAGCTCTCAACAAGGGTTGTACAGTATGTTCTTGTTTGGCAGCAAAGAAACACTTGGTATGATAATATTGCATGAAAATGCATGTGGTAAGAAAACCAAAGAACAAGCAAGGTGGTGTTACTCTTTTTGTTTTTTTTATTTTATTATTTTAAATTGTGTTTTTATGCTTTGTAGTTTTAACTTGTTTATAAGAAAACTCTTGACACCGTGGCAATTTTATGTTTACTTTTCACAGCAGGTTGATGTGGTGCGTATACAGAATTACTGTTTAATTATGGATCAAGACTGACTCCTTCTGGCCAGGCTCTTTAGCATGTTCGCCTTCATCTCTTGTAGCAGGCGGCTCAAACTCAGATAAGCTAGGGACAGTGTTAATGAGATGTATTTATTTTCCATATGCAGTTAGGTGGTCAAAGGTAGCCACTTTAGAAAATGAGAATCTGTTAAATCTAAAATCGCAAATTGAAAAAAAAAAAAACAAAAAACAAATGAGAGTGTGTTTCCACTCCCTCCCTTGTTTTTTTTTTTTTAATAAATACAAGCTGCTGCCTGAAACTGATAATCCCACCTATAACCATCACAGAAATGGGTTTATATACAGAGCAAGGAACTGCAGCCAACATCTGTCTAGAATAGCCAGAATTGTCGGACCTGATCAACATTAGGTCTAAAATAATGGTGTCATATGTGGGCTGCAGATCTCGAACATAAGCCAAGGGAAATATCTAGATGCCTATGTTATGTTTGCAGTGGCCTAAAATTTCTCAAATAGAAGAAGATAAAAAGCCTCTGACTGGGAACAGTCTTTCAGTTCACTTTTTAAGCTGTCTGCAAAAGAATTTGTTAAATTCTCAACTGTGAATGTACTTTTTTTTTTTGTTTACTTGAAATATATATTAAAAATGGACATATCCAATAATTTAGATTTAATTTTGATGCAATGTTTTTATGCACTACGTATTGTCATTAATGACAGATTACTGTATTAATTTTTGTCCATGATCAAGTTTTTTTTTTGTTTTTTTTTTATTTAATGTTATATACCCCCTGTATAGGGAAGCATATTAGCTACTATGTGCTCATTTGCATGTCTTTTTCCACGCCCCTTTTGGATATACTTGGCCTTATTTATCAGTATGGAGTAAGAATGATCTGTTTGTTCAGAAGGAGCCTATCAGATTCTTGCTTTCATTTTCAACCTACACTGGAAGAAGGAAAGAAGAATCTGACTGATTGCTGAGGACTAAACATAGTTCTTTCATGCACTGATAAACCAGGACCAGTGTGTTTCACTGTGTGTAAGATTGTCTTACATGACATAAGCTGACACTGGAACATGTTCTGCACAGCCTGAGAATGAACACACTTGTGTGGATCTGTGGAATTTGTATTAATGAGCTTGAATTTTAAAGTCTTAAGTACTTCTGATATACTGAAATGAATGAAAGTCTTGCAATGATTCACATTAGATGGTACAAGAAAGTTAAATTTAGATTTTGAGATGAATTCAAATCTTTTAAATAAAGTTACACTATTTATAATTTCTAAAGAGGTTTCATTTTTGTCTCACTTAAGTAATGACTGCTCTTGAATGTATGATGCGAAGTAGTGGTTGTCAACAATGTTGTTTTCCAAAGCTTTGGTTGATTTTACGGTTTTTAACTTTAACCACTTGCCCTCCAGAGGATTTACCCCAAACCCCCCCCCCCCCCCCCTCCCTTCATGACCGTCTGGGTTTTTTTTTTTTTTTTTTTTTTGCGCTATAAGCAAAAAAAAACGCCAATTTTGAGGGAAAAAAAAAAACATTTTGGACTTTTTGCTATTAAATGTGTCTAGTAAAAAAAAAAAATCAAAGTTTGGCATAAGTTTAGGCCAAAATGTATTCTGCGAAATGTGTTTTGCTAACAAAAAAAATCCAAATACGTGTAAATTAATTTGTTTACATGAAAGTTATAGCATTTACAAATGGCAGTATAGATAATGGTATTTTTTTTCCCTACTAGTAATGGCGACGATCAACGGCTTTTAGCGGGACTGCAGTGGACATTCTGACACGGGGGGGAAGAACTAACTAGGTGTCATTGGCATCTCCAGTGACACCAATACAGTGATCAGTGCTAAAAAAAAAAAAAACACTAATGGCACTGGGCAGGAAGGGGTTAATGTGAGGGGTGATCAGAGGGTTAACTGTGTGCTGTGTGTTTTTTTTTTTTTTTTTTTTTTAATGACACTAGGGGGTGGGAAGGGGGGGGGCAGTGTTCACTGTAAGCACACTGATCGGGATAGCTGTACTACGCACGGCCATCCTGAGCATTGTTCTCCAGCTAACTGGGAGGAAGATTGTTTGTAAACAAAGCAATCTTCCTGCCCCTGGGAGATGCTCAGTAATCACCGGGCGCTGGCTGGTAATTACTGGCCTAGATTTGGTGATTGACATGCGAATGGCGGCGTGAGAGTAGGTCACGCCCCCTACCTGGAAATGCAAAATCACGTGTATATACGTGATTTTGCACACAGGTGCCGCCCTGTAGCAGTATATCTGCAATAGGGTGGTCCTTAAGTGGTTAAGTAACCATCATACATGTCCACTGCTGCTCCTTGCCAGTGGCTCCTGCTGCTTTATGAGGCAATGAGGAGGCTGAGAATTGGTACAGCCAAAGTCCTCCTGCACATCACTGGATCACGATGGGGCTCAGGTAAGTATTAGGGGGGCTGCTACACACAAGTTTTTTTTTACCTTCGTATATAAGAATGCAGGAAGGTAAAAAAAAAAACCTTGAGCCTTTACAACCACTTTAACTTTCACTGCCACTAACCACCAATATGGGGGGTGCTGACTTTCTGTGCCATTTACCAGTGATGCCGGGAGGTATGAGAATTGTTAACTTTTACTGCAACTCGCCACCAAAAGTGAAGGGGTGGTTAAATTACACTGCCAGTGACAACCACTGCAGAGAAGTGGTTAACTAAATTGTTGACTGGCAGCATTGCTTGGGGGGGTGGTATTGCTTCCACGGACACCAATGCACGGGTATTTTTGCAGCCACTGGCATTAGTGCTGGGGAGTGTTAATAGTGGCCAGTGACATCAATGCTGAGTTATTGTTCCCCTGACACCAATACGAAGGTTATTACTGAAACTGGCACAAATGCTGGGGGGTTATTGTATGCAAACTTCATGTTCATTGGGATTTGATACAAATGCAGCGGAGCAAAAATTATAAGATGTTGCTACAGCCCATTCATTTTGGAACTTGATGCAATGACTGAAAATGTGCTGCTATTGTGTGGTCCTCTGGAAGTGTCATGGGCCGCACTTGATGCCCTCTATAAATTTCAAGTTGACCACCACTGGTGTTTACATTTGATATTTCTCAACTGTGGTGTTCTGAATGCCTGTTGAATTTCTTGAGACCCTAAAATGCCAGGTCGGCACCATCACTGCAAAAAGTTCCTCTTTTTGGAAAGTAGACACCCCAAGATGTTTAGCAAGAGGCATGGTGAGTTTTTTTACTTTTGTGGAACAGGAAGGAATTTTGATGTTTTTTCCCAAAAAGTTTTCTTGCATACAGTGATATTTGAATTGTATTCATTACAGTGTAAACTTTTGAAATTTGGTGCTAAATCTCAACCACTTAGAGATCAGTCTCGGATGCATGACCAGGTATGACATCACACTACAAGTTGCACATTTTAAAATAAAAATGAAACAACCTCCCCCCACTCCCGCATGCTATAGTACTCACAAAAATAAATTAATTAAAAATAAGTCAAGCAGCTACCACCCAACTGTGCAATCACTCCACTGTGTTAATGAATCAAAATTGAACACTGCTCAAGCGCTTCCAATATGACATAAATCAAATAATATATAACATGCCATAACCGTTTATCATAAACTGATCCCCTCCGGTATTCAGTATCCTTTTGTGAATGAAAAAATACACACACACACACACTCTCTCTCTCTC